CTGGCAGTTCAAAGTCACCAGCCACTCCTTGGAAGGAAGAATGGGCAGTCTACTTCTGTAGAGATACTAACTTGGAAACCCAAGGAGGGGTCTCTATGAGTCGAAATTGACTCATTATTTTGGAAGTGCTGGTAGCGTAGTGCCTAAGGCATTTCACAACCTACTAGAAGTCTGGCAGTTCAAACCCACCAGCCACCCCTCAGAAGGTAGGCTGGGTGGTCTACTTCCATGGAGATACTGCCTCGGAAACCCAAGGAGTGGTCGCTGTTGAGTTGGAATTGACTTGACGACAGTGAGTTTGATTTTTTGAGTTTTTTCTTGGCTACCTTCTAATTTTACTCTTAAACACCTTTTGAAGTAGGCTTGTTGGACAAATGAGAAACTGAGTCCTGGACAGTAGTATACTTCATATCATCCTATGAGTTGGGTGTAAAGTCAGGACCAAGAGACCAAGACTGAGGGCTCCCAACTCCCAGGGGCTTTTGGAAGGTTAAAAGTCCAGCTTTATGTTGTTTCCCAAAACTGACCAACTCTCCATTCCCTCAACAGGGTTAGTGGTGGTGAATCACTACCTCGCATTTCAATTTTTTGCAGAGGAATACTATCCTTTCTCAGAGGTAAGAAGTGTTAGGTAAATGAAACTATTACTAGTGATGGGAGAGTAATGAGAACTTGCATGATTTGCTTTGTAAACTTAGGTATGGTTTAAAACTCTGAGTCTGTTCAGGAATTAGATGCTAAAGAAACAGTACAGATGATTTTAGAAAGCAGTGTGGATGAGGCATAGAAGGGAGCCCTTTGGCTGGAGCAGGAAGGTGTATTCTCCACTGAGTCCTTTAGGTCCCCCTTCCATGGATTCCAGCCTAACATCCTGAGGTCAGGAAAGGACATTGAACAGCCCTGAACCTGCAATGTCCCTGAGTCCTCCCAGTGACCTCCCAAGGTTTCCTCCTCTCTGGATTTCTCCCCACCTTCCTCCAGTTTGGACCATCAGGGAAAGGACAGGATCCCTGCTTTGGGGAGTATGGGTCAGTCATGGCTTTGCCATCAATATACCTCATCTAGTTCAGAGGAATTGCTTGTCCTGGTGACCCAGATTTGAGGATTATGCCCATACTCTGTCATCTTCAGTTTCCACCTTTCCCTTCTGAATTACCTCCGTGCCTGAAGATGTGTTATCCCTGCTTCCTGGGCCCTGGTGTCCCCTTCTGAGGTCAGATGTGGGGCCTTCCATGAACTCTTAACCACCACTCTGAGACATACAGCAACCACACCTGAACCACCCTTGGCACCTCCGGGGGCACCTTCTTCTCAGTCTCTCTCGTTGCCAGGTCCTGGCCTATTTCACTTTCTGTCTGTGGATAATCCCGTTTGCATTCTTTGTGTCACTGTCAGCTGGGGAGAACATCCTGCCCTCCACCATGCAGCCAGGAGGTGAGGAGAGGGTCGCTTGTGTGGGTCCAAGGTTGGGGGTTGCCAGTAAGGCCTCAGTCGGCAGGGGTACTAGAGCCCAGTCCTGTGGTGGAGAGTTATGGGCTTCATGCTGGAGGAACTGTGGTTCACACTCAGACATACACACTCATCTCCCTGCCTGTGTCTCCACAGATGACGTGGTCTCCAATTACTTCACCAAAGGCAAGCGGGGCAAACGCTTAGGGATCCTGGTTGTCTTCTCCTTCATCAAAGAGGCCATTCTACCCAGTCGTCAGAAGATATACTAAACCCCTTGGGGAGGGGATATGGGGGCAAGATCAGGAGGGAGTCAGGCCCCTGGGCCTCTGCACTAGGTTGGGGCTGTGAGCCTGGAAGACATCTTCCCCCAGCCCTGGCCCTCCTCCTCCCCTTGACGCTCCGTGAAGCTTCCATCCCCACCCTCCTCAGGGAGCTCAGTTCAGCCCTGACACTGCTAGAGGCTGTAACATCCAAGGGCACAGGGAAGGTGGCAGAGCCTGCTTAGCCAGGAGGCCATGGTCCACTTGGTTGTGTGGGTGCAGAGTACCCTGTGGCCCTCCCCTCACCCTTACACAGTGGGTCGGGAGGGTTTGGTTCTGCTGGGGCAGGCAGGGCAGGGGTCGTGACGTTGGAGAACAGACAGTGACAAGTTCTCTAGACAGATGGCCATGGGGAGGGGCCATGGTTTGGCACTTCCAAGAGAAGTACTTTTTGTTATTGAACTGTGATTTCTGTCCAAGTGCTGAATCCCGTTTGAATAAAGATTCTAGGTGGCACTGTTTGCCTTAATCCCCAGAAAGTTCATCTACTTTTCTTCCTGATGACCTTTGGCCCTGGACTGAACTGGCTTTTCTGCTCTAGGGACTCTTCCTTTGGTTTTTGGGTCTTGCCCTTCTGAAAGGACTATTCTTGTAGCCCTGGGTGGGAAGCGGGCAGGATGAGGAGCAGAGCCTGGTGAGGGGTGGGGAGTGGAGGCAGCTTTTCTTAAGGCCCTCTCTGCGCTTCCATCTCTTCTTTCTCCAAGGATCCATGGCTGTCAACTGGGGGGTAGGAGAGGGGTTTAGATTTTCAGAACATCTGCAATATCCTATTTATAAGTCTTCCTCTGGGGAAAAGGAGTGATTTCTGGCTGAATTCTCTCTCAGGCTCAAGGAGAAACTGAAAATAAAAATTGGCTTCCAGGCAGCCCAGGCTACAGCCTCCTTTTGAAGAAGTGGGGCTAGTGGGAGAACTGATTTGTCACTCTAGGAGTGCACAGGCCTGGCCCTCTTTTCTGTGTGCTCTTGGCTCCTGGGGAGATGATCTCGGCCTTCTAAGAAGGCTGGCCAGGCCCTGGACACAGACCAGCATTTGTTGACCTTGCACTCCAACTACAGTGCCTTTCAAGTACTCAGTAGTATATATTGGAATGAAGTCCCCATGAGAGCCATTACTGGCCATGTCCTATACCTCAAAGCCAGGCTGGCGAGTGTGGAGATAGACTGCACATATGGAGTACGTTTAAGCCACTGTGCTTAAAAATCTTTACATCATGCCTGAGGTCCTACCATAGCCCTTCATTTCCTTGTCTTTAGCATTTTTTATTCTCTTAAAAATACCAGTCTTCCCCCTTCCCTGGGAGGAGTACCACATGCTGGTCTTCTCAGTGAGAATGAGATTGCCAGGCCCTTTTCTACTATGCAGACATGGACAAGGTAGAGGACACTGGAAGCAAATGTCATCCTCACCAACAGGCCAGCAGTTGGCTGGGCTCTACCCTGTTGTGCACTTTGTCCCTCGCCCAGACGATGTGGCATTGCTCTCTTAGGGAGAGTTGTCCCCTGTACGCATCACTGCAATGTAATCATTAGACAAATGATTACATTTGCCCTTTCTGTACTAAAACCAATGGACCCTTCTCATGTTTTATCTGACATGGCTGATCACCCCCTGCTTCTTGAATCATACTTCCCTGCCCTCTGTGACACCACACTCAGCTGGGTTTCCTCCTACCTCTCTGGCTGCTCCTTTCGGTCTCCTGTGCAGGATTCTCCATTTGCCCAATGCACAGTGGGGCTTCTCAGGGTTCTCTCTTGAGGCAGGGAGCCCATCCATGCTGATAGCTTCAAGGACTCTGCTGAGGAATCGAGAGTTGACCTCCAGCCCCAAGCTCCTTCGTGATCATCTGAACTTCTGGGTGCATAGCTCAAGTTCATGACCCAGATGGCACTTGTTGCTTCCTAATAAACCTGCCTCTTTGTGGCTGTCTTGGCCCTAAGATCACTCAAGAGCCAGACCAGAAACCTGCTTCTTCTTTCTGCCCTCACATCCAATTTCTAAAAACCATGAAGTCTACCTTCTTAACATTTCAGTTGGAGCCACTTCTACTACCATCAACTTTCACCTGGATTTATTGTGACAGCCACCTGTTTCTCTTCCCACAGCGAGATTTGTCTTTCTGAAATGCATAGTTGATCAAGTCACTCCCTTGCTTAAAACCTTCCATGGCTCCCCGCTGCTGTCAGGATAAAGTTCAGACCCCTTAGCATGGCTTGTGAGACTTTTGTATCCTGGTCCCCGCTTGCCTCTCTGGCTTCATCACTTCCTTCTTGTACTCTGGGTACCAGCCTCCTGTATCCAGAGATGCCATTGTGCACTCTGTTTGCCACTTTGATTTCCCTTTCTTCTGCTTAACCTGGATATCTTCTCTGTCAACTTAGATTTCACTTCCTGTGAGCAGCTTTGAATGTTCACTACCCCACCACCACCCCATCAGTGAGATCACCCTGGGCTTACTTGCCTGCTTACTGGTCTGTCTTCCCACTAGACTGTAAGCTCTTTGAGGGCAGGGACTGTCCTTCAGTTTTTGTATTAACAGTGCCTGGCCCACTGCCTGGCACACAGAAAGCACTCAATAAATGTTTGTCTAATGATTACATTGCAGTGATGTGTACAGGGGACAACAGGGGATCCACGATTGCTTCCTAGAGGAAGTATAAATGCTTTCAGAGTCTCAAACTGATGCTGTGCCTCCCTCAACTGCAGAAACCTCAGTGGTGGCTGAGAATAAGGGATGGGTGCTCATAGTAGCATGGAGGTCCATGCCAGGCAGACAGATTAACAGATCTTCCCCCATTTTGGACCTAGAGATGAAGAGTAAGACGTGGAACATGAAGCAGGAAGGAGGACTTAGTCTGACAAGAAGCAGAATTTCCCAGTGGTTCAGAGGGAAAGCCTTGTTCTGGTGGGTGGTAGGGCTAGGGGAGGGGGGCAATGGGGACTACAAAGTCACTTTTAAAATGCTAGGGCCCCAGAAAGTGACTGACCCCACTCTGAGCCCTGGGACTCTTTCCTAAGCTGTATCCCCCGGGGGGCCCAAGAAATTTCTCTGTGGAGAGAAGGAAGGCCTGGGATTAGCTTATTGAGGGCAGGGGGACTCTTATCCTTGAGCTTGGGAGTGAAGAGCCAAGAGTGCATACTACCTCCCCCTTCCTTCCTGTGTGCAACAAGGAATTGACACAGCCAGCCTTCACTGGGCTGCCTCAGGGCCAGAGACTACCAAAATAGCTTTATGGGGAGTCTTTGGGGGAGGGCAGGACAGGGAGTCCTTGATGAACGCGCAGGGCTGTCAGGAAGGTTTCATCAAATGTCTCACGCAGGTTCATGGCCAGAGTGTCTGTGCAAAAGGTGTTATTGCCCAGTCTCCGCTTCTGGGGCACATCCTTTATGCTGTTGGGATAGAAGCCCTCTGGCACCTTCATCCTGTAAGGCTTCTGTGAGGGGTAGAGCTCCCGGACCACCACTTCAAAAGGCAGCTGGGGCACGGGCACCACCAGGTGGCCGGTGACTGTGTGCAGCCGTGCACCTCCGTGCCTATCGGGGCTCACTTTCACGAAGTTACTTAAGTCATGCTCCTGGGTGGGGTCTGGCTGCACGCCCAGGCGGATGCCCTGTGGGTAGCTGATCTGGGTGATGGGGCATCTGGCAGGGTTGTTGTTTTGGTCCCACACCTTGGGCCGCCTGACTACAGGTGGCCTGCACAGGAAAGGTGCTGGTGCTGCCACAGGCTGCAGTGTTGGCTGTGACAAGTATCGCAGGTTCACCTCCAGGAAAGCCTTCTTAGAAGGCTGTGACCCGGGGCTCTCGGGGATCTTTGTGAGGTCAGTGGCTGAGTGCAAGACATCAGACTCCTGCTTGGTATTGTGGGCCAACAATAGCTTGCAGTGGAGCCAGTTCTTGAAATTGGCTTCATTTAGGGATTTATGCTCTTTCTGCAACAACAGAGGACACAAGATCATCAGGAAGGGCTGTTCCCTCTCTGCTTCTGTGCAAGAAGGGCCTGTGGCTATAGCTGCTGAAATCTTCCAGTCTGACTGAGGAGATATAGTCCTCGCCCCAGAGGAGGTTGGTGGGAGAAACACATGCCTTATGGGAACACTTGTTTTGATAGGGAGACAACTTTTGCCCTAAATGAGCACCTTGGTTGATAGAGGAGACAGAGATTTTCCCATAGGGGAGATACAACCTCCTGCAGGTAAGGCTTCCAACTTCAGGGTAGAGGAAAAGCAGTCTCTGCCCTCAGGAACACCTCTAGTCTGATGGGGGAGATGACCCCCTATCACCACCAAAGGAACCCCCCATCTGATAGTGGAGATATGTCTTGCCCGAGCAGAGTCTTTGAGGAAAAAAAGGCAAACGAGAAGTGCAAACTGCATCTCTGACTCTGGAAGAATGCCGACAAGTTTGGAATGCCTGCAACTGGATGGAGCGAATCTGCTCAGGCTTCTTGGAAGTGGTGGTCCTTGAGAAGTCAGTAGGGGAGGATATACATGGCAGGCTCTGTGGGCTGGGCTGTGATGACTCAGTCTAGCTCTCTGTCTGACCTTGCCTCCACTGGAGTTGGACTTTCGGCCTATTGTCACAGAACCTCCCCCACTCCAACCTGTTTTCTTTGTCTCTAGCCTCTGTTGCTAAGGTGGTTTGGAGATTGACCCAGCTCCAGGAGGAGGCTCTGATTATGTTAAGCCAATCATAGTAATTCCCTCAGCCTTGCCTCAGATCTAAGTCAATCAGCATGACTTTCCCTTAGCTCTAGGGAAATGAAGATGAGAGACAATCTACAAGGGCCTCCCCTACTAGTTTGCAAGCTCCTTGAATGTGGAAACCACATCTTGTTCATCTTTGGAGCCTTAGGGTTTAGGTGCCTAGAACAAAGTACTCATGCTCAGTATCTTTTGGAAGGAAGGATGGATCTTTTTTTTTAACCAGCACATAAGTCCCAATAAAGGCGGGGCCTAGGTCTCAGGTTCTCCTTGTCCAGTGGGAGGTCGTGCACTAAGGGGAGCTCCATGGGGTCACCATGAGTTGGGATCTTATCGACAACTGGTACTGGTACCTTAAGCTGTACAGTATTTCCTTTTTTTAACAAGGACAGGACTTGACCTAAAAGAGGTTAAAATGGTGGAATTTCAGTCAGAGTATAGGGAAGTGAGGAGTCCTTCTGGGTGGGAATGCTTCTAGCCATTCTTCTAACCATACAGTGTGGGTCACTGCCTCCTCTGCTCACATGCTTGGATAGCATCTGATACCTAGCACCCCTGCCCAGCCTACCCCTTACGTGATACTCAGTTAGGTAATGCTGCTCCAAGACGACCAGCCTGTCCTTGAGCCTCTTCAGATTCCCCATCTCATGGGCAAAGTCCTTCTTGTCCCGTTTCCACATGGCATCCTTCAAGAACCTGGTGCCAAGATAGGGATGTGTCATCCCACAGTGACTGAACTTCATTCTGGGTTGGGAAAACAGCCAACTGCTGAGTGCCTAGATGGGGGTGGGAGAGAGCTGACAGAAGAGATGAGCAAGATGACTCAACCTCACTTCCCAGGGCCCTCTGGCTAACTACTTCCTTTGAGGTGAGAGAGGAAAGTGTTTGATGGCCTTATCACCACCCTTCTTTTGAGGAACCAGGGGCCCTGGGCAGCAAAGGAGGGAGTGCTAAACTCATTGGGGTGAGGCCCTATGGAATAACACACTGGGCAGGGCGCCACTTTAGCAGACTTACTCCACAGCCCATAGAAGACAAGCTATCTGGTTTCCTAGACTCTTAAATCTTAGCCTTGGTGAGGGCCTTACGAAAAGGACTTGGACAGATGGAAGGGGGTAGCTGGCTGTGGGTGGTTCTTACACCCTCACCGAGCACAGGTACGGTGGTTCCATATTTTGCAGAAGTCGATGGGTTTGCAGCCCATAGCATCTTGGGCATGGACATTGGCACCATTCTCTACCAGAACCTTCAAACAGCTCAGTAGGCCCTCCCGGGCTGCTATGTGCAGGGGCGTATAGCCATTTTGTGTTTGACTGTAGTGGGGAAAGAAAGCAGAAAGAGAAGACAGAAAGCATCTACCCATCAGATATGTGGCCAACCGATTTCCAGGGCCTGCTCTGCCACTAGCCCATTGAGTGACCCGGACCACATTCCTTCTCTTGTTTGTATTTCTATTTCCTCTGCTATAGAAGAGATTAGAGTAAAGCAACAGTAAAAGTCTGATGACAAGAGGTTATATGAGGTTCATGACAGTTAAGAACTGCTAGAAGGAGAGCTGGCTGGGAATACTTGTCTTATCCACTTTTAAACCAATCACTGACTTGCCATGATCACAGGCCTGCAGAGTCTCTTCCTCCCTCTCTTCCCTTGACCTTGCCCCACTCCTTCCTAACACGTGGGCCCTATGCATGGTATTCCCTTTGCCTGGAACACTTTTAAGAGCTCTGGTGGCGTAGTGCCTAAGGCATTTGACTGCTAACCAGAAGGCTGGTGGTTCAAACCCACCAGCCACTCCTCAGAAGGAAGGTTGGGCAATCTACTTCTCTGGTGATACCACCTCAGAAACCCAAGCAGGGGTTGCTATGAATCAGATCCGACTTGATGGCAGTGAGGTTTTTTTTTTTTTTTTTTTTCCCTTGGAACACTTTTCCCTGGCTCGTTGCATGGCTGGCTTAGTCTCAGTCTTCAAATCCCATCTTAAATGTCCCCTTCTTAGAGGTGACCAAACCAAAAAACAAACCCACTGCCATTGAGTCTATTTCCACTCATAGGGACCCTCTCATTGGATTTCCAAGGTGGTAAATCTTTACAGAAGTAGATTGCCCTATCTTCTTTCACAGACTGGCTAGTGGGTTTGAACCACCAACCTTCTAGTTAGCACTCAAATACCTTAGGTAATGTGCCACCCAAGCTCCTTTTTCTTAGAGGTGACAGCTGCTTCCAAATTAGAACTTCTGCCCTATCACCCTGTTTATTCCCTTCATAGCCACTTACTTAAAAAAAAAAAAAAAAAATACCATCTGCTGTTATTTTATTCATTTATTAGTTTGGTAATTTGCTGTGTGCTCCAACTCTGGCATGGTGCTTAGCATACAATTCATGCTCAATAAATATTTTGAATGACTACAGTCTCTTATATGCCATGCACTTTCCATGCATTCCTCAGTCATCACAATAGTCCCATGTGATAAGTACTCAACATTTCAGTTGAATACACTGATTCAGTGGTTCCCAAGCTTGGCTGCAAATTAGAAACACCTGGAGATCCTTTAAGACACCCCTCCCCCCAAAAAAAGAGATACAAAAGATATTACAACCTCTGGGTTGAAACACATGCTTTTGTGTTTTCAAAGCTCCCTAGTTGATCCCAATGAACAGGTAAGTTTGGCAACCACAATAATGAGGCTTAGAGGTAAAGTGATTTGCCCGAGGTCCTGGTGTTTGCTGCTGTTGTTGTTATGTGCTGTCAAGTTGGACCCGATTCATAGGGGCCCCTCCTTGGGTTTCCAAGGTGGTATCACTACGAAAGTAGATTGCCCAACCTTCTGTTCGAGGAATGGCTGGTGGGTTTGAACTGTCAGCCTTCTGGTTAGCAGTCAAGTGCCTTAGGCACTATGCTACCAGAGCTCCAAGTAGCAAAGCTGGGATGTGAACTAGGACTGTCTTTTTCCAAAGCCCAATCTCTTAGCTACTATGCCATATGGGTGCACTGACTGATTCATGTGGGACCCAATCTTTGTCACCTCCAACAGCCCTTCTGCCTGTCCTGCATAGGCCTGCCTGCCTGCCTGCCTGGAAGAGGGGTTCTTACCATCCAACCTATAGGCCACCCTCTTGATGCCAGTTGGACTCACGCATTGATAGTTGCCTTTTTCCTGAGCAGATAGTGAATGCAGGGGAGGACCATGGTCTTGTTGTCCCTGTGGATAACTAGGTGCAAGGGGGTCTGGCCATTGTTGGTGGGTTGGTTCACAGGAAACTTGTACTCATCCACCAAGATCTGTAGGCATGCAAGCTTGCCTCGCTGGGCTGCAAAGTGGATGGCGGTGAAGCCCTGTGGGGACCAGAAGAGGGCAGGTGGAGGTTGAGCAGAAATTGAGAGTCCACAGCCTAGCTTATATAGCAACTCCTTGGGGTTGTCCCAGTGCCCTTGGAAATTGCTTATTACCCTCCCCAACTCTAGGTGTGTGTTCATCAGCTCACCTACCTGCTCACTCAAAGTGGCCCTTCCCTGGCCATAAGGTGAAATTAGGATGATCTATACAGAAAAGGGGAGCTCTGGTAGCATAGTGGCTAAGACACTTGCCTGCTAACCAGACGGCTGGTGGTTCAAACCCACCAGCCACTCCTCGGAAGGAAGGTTGGGCAATCCTACTTCCGTAGTGATACTGCCTCGGAAACCCAAGGAGGAGTCGCTATGAGTCGGGGCCGACTCGACGGCACATAACAACAATAACAACAACATACAGAAAAGGGCATGTCTGGATGCTCTATAGTTGCATCTTCAGGACACCCTTATATGAGGAGCTCTTTGAAGGGTGGGTGGGATCTTGGTTCTTGCCGGCAGTCTCCAAAGCATTGCTTACCTTACTGTCTGCCGGAATTTCCCCAATGCTCCGATTCCGACAGAACCGCAACCACTCTACGTTGCCCACTGCAGCAGCGAATAACTCACAGTAGTTCCCAATTGCCCTCTGGTCGGACTCCTCACCCAGGCTACAGTGGACACGGGACAGAGGATGAGCAAGGAAAGGGCTGCCGTGTCGAGGGGTGGTGCCCTGAGATGCCTGCCCCTTTGGGGAGGCTAGGGCTGGCACTCCAGAGGGACACCCACGTGGAAGTGGGCAGTTGCTTGTGTCTCGAGGTATTTATGGAGGTGAGGCCGGGCCTGGCTAGACTGGAAGGCCATGAGGAAGCGGCTCACCAGGGTCTGGCCGAGGCGTGCTCCCCGACTTCTCGCTCCCCAGCATCACTCCCGGCCCACCCAGGCCTTGCCCCTCCAGGAACACAGAGTGATGCTGAGTGGGTATCCCACGCCCCTGCCTGTGCATCGGCAGCCAGGCCACCTTTCCCCCCGGTCCCACCTGGACTGCCTGGAGTACAAGTCACCCCAGGTGACCTTCGAGGGCGCTTTCTCCATCCGCTTCATGGACACATGGAATTGGCCGAAACTGGGCTCCACGCCCCCCACTTACTCCCGAGTCAAGAGCTGTGGATGCCCCACCAGTCCCGGCAGAGTTGTCAGGAGGCTGGGTCGTCAGACGGCTGTAACTCCGCGCCACGGGGGCGGGCGGTGCCCGTCTCCCCACCTCCCGGGACCCCCAGGCTGTTCCTCAGCTACTGTCCGACCTGCGCTACCTGCGTGGTGTCAGCGAAGAGCCCCTCCCTCGCGCGAGGGCAGCAGAGCCCACACGCCTCCTGCACCGTCACCCGCCTGCCTCTCCCAATCCTCAGCTTGGCTCTGTGGAGGCGCCCCTCAGGGCAGTTTCTCCCGATCCAACTTCCCCACCACAACTTTTCTGTCCCGCTGATCTTAGAAACTCAGGAGTCAAACGCACAAACAACAACAAAAGACATTTATCTTTTGTTTCTGATTACAAAAATAATAGATGCCGATTGTGGAAAACAGAAAACTACCATGAGGAAATTAAAAAATCACAATCCCACCACCCACAGAAGTCAAGACTATTGGGATATATATATGCATATCATAGATATATTTTGGTTCCTCTTCATTTAGCACAAGGTGAACTCGCACTCAGCGTTCAGTATCACATACTGAAACGCTCAGTTTCACACACTATAAACATAACGTTTATGACGCAACAATAGCCCACCCATCATAATAGATGTGCTGCAATTCTGGTAGCGTAGTGCTTAAGGCATTTGACTGCTAACCATAAGTCTGGCGATTCAAACCCACCAGCCCCTCCTCGGAAGGCAGGTTGGGCAATCTAGTTCCATAGTGATACCTCCTCGGAAACCCAGGAGGGGTCGCTATGAATCAGATCCGACTCGACTGCAATGCGTTGAGTTTGTTGCGTTACTAAAAGCATGGCTCATGTCTGTTTTTTTCTTAGGATGTACTCCTGGAAGTAGAACTACCAAGTGAAAGGGCATGAACATTTTTTAGCTGTTGAGAAAACAAAAACTACCCGCTGCCCTCCAGTCGATTCCAACTCATACCAACCCTATAGAGCAGAGTAGAACTGCCCCATAAGGTTTCCAAGGCTGTAAATCTTCCGGAGGCAGACTGCCTCATCTTTCTCCTGCAGAGAGGCTGCTGAGTTGAAACTGCCAACCTTTGGTTAGAACTGAGCGCTTTAACCACTGCACCATCAGGGCTCTCTAGCTGTTGATACATGTTTCCAAAGCGCCCTCCAAGGAAGGTCTGATACTCGTCCATACTTCCACTTGCAGTGAAAGGCTCACTGACAGTGGGCAAATTACTGGGCCGATGTGTCTTGGTTTCTACATCAGTCAAATTGGGATCACACAGTACCTGCTTCATAAAGAGTGCAGCAGTATAAGCAGTGACAATGGTGCTAGGGGACTAAGTGCTATGAATTTGTTGTTATTAAAAGCAGAACTCTTCAAACCATCCTTAGCATTTGGATATTGTGATTTAAAATCAGTGCTTATTGGTGTGGTTGTGAAAGTTGTGTTCTATTTTTATTAAACTCTTTGTTTACTAGCAAGAGTTAAGCATTAATTTTTATTATTAAAAATTAGTAAAATAAAATTTTATTTATAATATTTATTTTAATTAATTCATCTGTGAGCTGTTTATTCACATTGTTCTTTCAGGGTCTTGATGTATTTTTTATATACTTTTTTTTAATGCATTTTATTGAAATATAATTTATGTATAGTGAAATACACAAAACTAAAGTGACATGGGGAGCTCTGGAAGCATAGTGCCTAAGGCACTTGACTGCTAACCAGAAGGCTGACAGTTCAAACCTACCAGCCACTCTTTGGAAGAGAAAGGTTGGGCAATCTACTTCCACAGTGATACTGGCTCGGAAACCCAAGGAGGGGTCGCTATGAGTCAGGTCCAACTCGATGGCACATAACAGCAACAACAACAAAGTGACATGGGTCAGTGCATTTTTTTTTTTTCAGTGTTCCCTCTCCTCCCCTCCAATCCCTGGCAACCAACAAAGAAAGTTTTCCTCTATATATAAACCTTTCCTTGACTCAGGGTCTTGATGTATTTCTTATTGATTTATAAAACTTAATAACTTAGTAACCCTTTAGTAAAAGGAGCCCTGGTAGTTCAGTAGTTAAAGAGTTCAGCTGCTAACCAAATGGTTGAATTCAAACCCACCAGTCGCTCTGTGGGAGAAACTGTGGCAGTCTGCTTCTGTAAAGATTTATAGCCTTGAAAACTCCGTGGAGCAGTTCTGCTCTGTCCTGTAGGGTTACTATGAGTTGGAACGCACTCAGTGCAATGGGTTGGGTTTGATATTTTTTAGCCCTTGGTATGTTATATTTGTTGTCAATGCTTTCCTTAGTTTGCCTTTTAACTTTTCACAGCATAATGGTGGAGCAATCAATGTTTATTGAATCAATGTTGAGCCTTATTAACTGTCCATATCCCACTACTTCTCTGGAGGATGACCCCAAGCATATCAGAGAGCTACTGAGACCCTGGGATCAGCTCTGGGTATGCCTAACTACAACTCCCACTTCTCACCACTTTCTTCTCTCTGTACCTTAACATGCAGCTATTTCCCTTGGGGAAATCTAAGAAGGAGGGGAGAGGGTCTCTTCAAGCCATAATGACTTTCAAGGAGGGACAAAAAGTAAAATTCTCCACCCAGAAACGTGTCTCCAGGAAAACCTCAGCACTCACTTCCCTCCATCCTCAGTGGTCAGCACCCCTCCCAAGTGCCTTAAAAACCAGCAAATCGTGCTAACTACAAAGATGTGCTAAAACCCAGGTGAAATTGTTCACTACAGACAAGTAAATAAGCACAAGTAAGCTATGTTTACCTTACTTATTGGGTGATCCACCTATGAGGTTAATCAATCTGGTTTGGGGCCTGTACATTGGTGTTCTGTAAAGTTACCCAGGGGATTCTCATGTGCAGCCAGGGTAGAGAGTCACATTGAGGCATTCTGCCTCAGTCCCCTTTCTGGAGAGGCTACAGGGTGCAGGTGATCCTGAGGGAGGAGAAGCCTTGGGAGGAAAGGATGCCCTACCCTAAAGACCCCTTGGCCAGAGCCGTGCAGCTGGTCTGGGAGGCAGTGCCTGGTAGAACAACAGAGGTGGGACGATAGGGAGGGCTTGTTGTTAGGTGCTCTGAATAGGTTTTCAACTCATGGCAACCGCATATGACAGAGTAGAACTGCCTCATAGGGTTTTCTAGACTATTACTTTACAGGAGCAGATAGCCAGTCAGGTCTTTCTCCCTTGGAGCAGCTGTGTAGGTTTGAACTGCCAACCTTTCAGTTAGCAGGGGAGTACTTAACTATGCCACCACCAGAGCTCTTTATGGGGAGGGCAGACAGCAGAAAACTTCCAGGGAAAGATCTGATTTCCTCTCTAGGAGGAAATGGTAAGAATATGGCTCCAGGCAGGTGATCTCTGCAGCTGTCAGGCAAGGGAGATGGAAAGTTGAGGGGAGGAGACACACTGACAGAAGTGGAGACAAGACATAGAGAATGTGTCGTCTCTCTACACTCCAGATCCAAGGCTCAAGTTCTGCTCTTCCCCCTTGCCCCTCACCTCTCTAAGGCACCTCTGGTTCCTTTTGAGGCTTAAACTAGTTTGAATTGAGTTTCTGTCATTTTCTATTAAAGCCTGATTAGCAATAATCTCCTGAGGTTAAATCTTCTTAAGGGTCAAATAATTGGGACCAATGACATGATCCTGAAAGGAGCTGTGTGCAGCTGGGGACTGTGAAGCCCCAGGGGACATGGAAACCTGTCCTATTGCTGCTCTCCTAAGGGCAAGTGTGTACCTCAGGGAAATGGCAAGGGACTTGAAACTAAAGAAGCTTTAAGTGCTGGGGCAAGTTTGTTTGAGCAGGGGATACTCTCAAATGGGCCTGGGACTGGAGGAGGTAGGGACTTGCTTTCATTGTGGCCTTACAGGGTGCTTGCCTGAGGATGGGAGCAGAAGACAAGGGATCTTGGCTGTAAGCAGTTGGAGTCCTCTGCTGGTTGGTCTGCGTTCTGGTGTAGTGGTAACAAGGTGCAGTGGTTAAGTGCTCATGCTAACTGAAAGGCTGACAGCTCTAACCCACTCAGCGTCTCTGTGAGAGAAAAGATGTGGTGATATGCTCCTATGAAGATTACAGCCCAGGAAGCCCTATGGGCAGTCTACATTGTCCTATAGGGTTGCTGTGAGTCAGAATTGTCCCAGCAGCACACAACAAACACGACTGACTTTTAGGTCAGCACCCCGGGGTATTCATTTGTAGTTGTGGAAGGAGGGTAATGTTGCCTTGATGGAGTAGACACTCCCATCTGGGGGAAAAAGGAAGTTGGCTTGAAAGTTGGTTCCTTGCCTACCTCAAGGAACCAGATTTGGAGGAAGGCAGGTATCTGGGTACCATGTGGTAAGGATGAGGGATTTGCTCAGGACAGAAATAGCAAGTCATATCTTTTACACTAGATTCCCAAGTTGTGTGTTCATTTCCCTCTCTGTTCTTCCCAGTGTTCTCAGTGAATATCCTGAATATTAATGGGTCCTTTCCTTCAGCCTCTGGCATAGTGCCTAAAGCATTTAACTGCTAACCAGAAGGCTGGCAGTTCAAATCCACCAGCCATTCCTCGGAAGGAAGACTGGGCAATCTACTTCCTTAGTGATACCACCTCGGAAACCCAGGGAGGAGTCTCTATGAGTCAGGATCGACTTGACAGCAGTGAGTTTTTTTGTTTGTTTTCTTCAGCCTCAGAACAGTTCCAAAGGACCAGCAGAACCCTAGCTGAACTGATGTATTTTCCCTTCACCAATCTCATAGATCAGTTGCATTGAGGCTCAGTTCTAGGTAGGTTATTTAGTCAGAGCAGCTGAATATCATGCTTAGATCAAATGATCCAAGATAGGACCCAAAATGTCCAGTGTTTTCTGTGCTGCTAAGATCTAGAATAACTTTGCCTCAAGCCCCTTTGTCCTACTTCTACTTCTGGAGTGGC